TCTCTCTCTTTCACTCTCTGTCTCTCATCATTTCTCCTACGAAAATAACTGATTTCCTTTGTGTTCTTGTCCTATAGCTTCCACGCAACCTCAGTTTTTCTTTTTTGTTTTTTCTTGGAAGGAGACAGGGCAGGCTGACCTTAAAGGCAAAGCAGTCCGGGCACATAACAAGCCAGACACACCCGGGTCCAAATCTCATCGATAACACTTTCCAGCTGTGTGTCTTGGGTGAATGATTTGATCCTGCAGAGCCTCAGTTTCCTCATCTGTAAAATAGAAAGAATAAGACCCCATTTGAGATGAGTGATGTAGAAAATGTGGTGGTGGATCTAGAGTAAGCACTGAAAATATTAGTTTCTCTCTCCCTGCGGCAGATACAGAAAGCTCTGGAGGTTATTTGTTGATGGGTGAAAAGCTGAGACCTCTCCCCAGGAGCAGCCTCTGGCGCTGGGCAACCTGCCTTGTTCCACCATATTCCCAGGCTTGTTCAAGTGACATAATCCCCCTACAGCCGTGGAGCTAGAGCTTCCTGGTAGTGGGGAACAGACACAGAAGTTCACCTGCCGGATGAAATCCCAGTTCTGCTGTTATTACCCATGGGGCCCCACTGATCCTAAGCAAGGTTCTTCACCTCTCTGGGACTCAGTTTGCCCATCTGTTAAATGGGGATACTAAAAGTGGCCGCCTTGCAGGGTTTACTAGGCAGAAAAAAAAATGATTTAAATTGTAAAGTACTTTTTAAAAGGTCTAGTACAAAGCAAAGCTATAAATTCATGTAATATTTCTTGACTACTACTGCGGGCTGGTCATGAAGAATGCCGTGAACAGATGTTTCCCCGGCTCTGAGGAAGCGCTGTCTCCCTAAGGGCCCAGAAGCCCCCAGAGAGCCGCAGTGCTCAAGGAGACAGCACAGCAGCCCCGGTCTACACCAAGGCCCCCTAGGCAGGGATATTTGTCAAAGCCCGGGAGCCTGCTGGGCGGTGGAGGTAGGGCATCTTTTTCTCTTGCTTCTGTGTAGGAGCTCCCTGGTGCTGGGGAGGTAGCACCAGGCCACCTGGTGAGGCTGAGAGGAAGGCTCCGAGGCCACTGGGAGAGCTGAGGGAAGCGGCCTGGGCGCCGCTGATCCGCCTGCGATAAACGGAGCCCCGAAGCCCAAGGCTGGAGCTCAGGGCTCCAGGCGCCCAGTTTCTGGGCTCTTCCACCAGCCTGCGGGGCAGAGCCGGAGAAGGATGGGCGTAGAACAAAGAGAGATGCCGTGTTCTGTTTTGCCCACTGGGTGGAGTATTTTAGCCAGGGAAGGGCGCGGCGGCGGCAGTCACCCCGACCTCGCTGCGCCAGGAGGCCGGCTCTGCCTGTCCGGGGCCGCGTGCAACCCTCCTCCGCCGGGAGCACCGCGCGGGCTTTCGGGGCCATCAGCCCTCGTGCGTGCGCCCGTCCGGCCCTGCTCAGGGAGCCTGGGAGTCAGAAAGCGGCCGTGCGGGGTCAGCAGGCACTCTCTTTTTCGGTTCTAGGAAACCCGAGGCTGAGGGGCCAGGAGAGCCGCCCTGGGTCACACAGGCCGGCAGCGCCCAGGCTTCCTGGCTTTCTGGCCATGGCCCCACAGTGGCTCCGAGAGACCCCTGGAGACCTTTGCATGTGGGTGTGACCCGCAGATGTAGTGTGACACGTGGTTTTTATTAAAAGTAAAATGGTCTGAAGGAGAAAACGAATGTTGACATAGAACCTTGTCTTTCCCAGAGCAGTGAGGTGCCCTGGGCTTCCCGCAGCCAGGGACCCTTGCCGCTCTCTGGGGTTCACACTCCTCACCCGCGCTCCCGCCTTTCCTTCACCTTCTTGCAGCCGGCTCGCCCCTCAGAATGCTTTCCTGACCACGTGGCCAACGGTCCCAGCCTCCTCTTTCACTGACTTTTCCATCATGTTGCTTGCACACACACACACACACACGCACTCACGCATACATGCACACACACATGCACACACACACACCACACAACACCACCCATGCACGCACGCGCACACACACAGCCACCCACGCACGCACGCACGCATGCAGGGCAGGAATGCTTTGTGTTTGCTTACTGTTTGTTTCTCCCCTAGGATATATATTCTCGGGTTCAGGTTTACAAGGTATCTCTCCTCTGTGTCCACAAGAGTGTCTGGTAGCAGCAGACGCCCCACAAGAATTTGTTGAATTGACAAGTAAATGAAAGACCATTAGTTTCAAATCCTGATTTGCCTGCAAGATGGATAATGGCGAAGATCAAATTAGACAATGTATGCAAAACAACCCTGCCACCCGCTAAGAATAAACACGTGAAAGGGCCAACGGGAGGTGAAGGGATTCCCGGTGGTGCCCACTTACCGCATGAATGGGGACTGTTAGGAAAATAAGGGGCCCGTGTCGTATATTGTGATGACAACGTGTACTTGTGTTGATCTATTTATTTTATTTAACTGTCTTGATCAGAAACAAAACACAAAGTGCTTGATTTGACTCGGTACACAAAAATACACGCCTTACCGCAGGACCGCCGAAACTAGGTGGCAGCTAACTGGAATGAAACAGCCGATTTGAAGAATGTGAGGTTGACCCAGAAATGTAGGATGCCTACCTTGTTTACAAAAATAAAATTGGTGAGCAATAGGGTAAAGGAAAACAAACACAGGAGAGTAAAAGGCAGGCAGAAAGTACATAAGCTGTGAACTATGAAAACCTACTTCATCCTAAGAGAGGGACACCGACTGAGGCTCTGCTATCCACAAGAGATGCACAGGGCAACCTGGCCACCAGGGCAACTGTCAGTGGCTATGTGTCCCAGGCCTGGGCTTCGAGTTCCAGAGTCCATGGTCTGGGGACAGAAATTTCCACAGTGGGGCTTTGGGTTGGGAGCCAGACTTGAGGGCTAAACTAAAATCTTTGACATTCTCCCTCTACCCTGGTGGTTTTGTCAGTTGTAAGTCAGTAGGAAATTCAAAGACAATGACTTTAAATATCTCTCAGTTTTTCAGTTATAAAAAAGAAAAGTGAAACAAATTCTAAATAAAGGTAGCCCAGTGAGATTGAGACAACTGGGCACAGTTTTGGGAAGCTGATCTCAGAAAGACAAGACATACATTGTTTCACTCAGAAGTGCCTTTCCTCCCTATGTTTTCTAAAGGATTTTTGGTGTGTGTGTGTGTGTGTGTGTGTGTGTGTGTGTGTTTGTACTGGGAATCAAACTCAGGACTTGCGCTTGCCAGGCAGGCACTTGTGCTGCTCAGCTATATCGCCAGCCCTTCTAAAGGGAACAGAGATCTCACATACGTGCTGGTGGCCTGGAAAGCAAAGCCTGACTCAGGATGGTCATTCTTGGCTCCATCTTTAAGAAGTGCAGAAACTCCCCTATGGGACAGAACCAAGTGCCGCTGGGTGATCAGCGAGGGGCTTCCCCGGCCTTGGCTTCCCTGACACGCAAGTCACCAGCCCAGCTCCACAGTGGACCTCATTCCAAGAGGCCACCCTGGTGCCTTTTTCTTCCAGCTCCTGTTAAAGGCACCAGTGACTGGTTTTCCAGCCACAAGGAGACGAAAGCGTGGCCAGAATCATAAAGGCAATAGATTTCTCTAAAGTGGGCAGATATGACTGGATTATTGTTTGACCAGAGGAGATTGTCAAGGAGCCACACAGGAAGTGGGGTGTCTGCACAGAAACTGCCCGAGTGACAGTCAAAAAACCAGGGGCCCCAGGCTTTGAGGGGCGCTGATTGCTCTCACTGGCTGTTAGGAGTTGAGTACTCTCGGATCAGCTGCTGACCTCTGTGAACCTCAGTTAGTTCATCTGTTCAATGAGTACAAATCACTCCTGCCCCCGCTGTCTGCTGCACTGGGACAGAGGGGACGGAAAAGGGTTTGCAAACAATTCCTACTGGAACTAACAAGTAATCACAGTCATGACCAGTGCTACAACCCCTCCAGTTAGAATGCAGTGTAATAGCTACAGTTTTGAGTCCCTCTTTTGTGCCATGCTTTTCCAGCTATGTGTCTCAAATCTTTCAACCATCCCCACTTCACACAGGGGGAGCTGAAAATCCTGCAGGGAGAGTAATCCTCCAAGATCCATCAGCCATGGACTTCGGTAGGGTGCATATTTGCATTCTGATTTTTCCAACTCTGAGAACCTTGTACCAGTCTGTCTCTAGTGAAGAAGGAATTGTACATTCAAAGTTAATGTAAAGAAGAAAAAAAATGATAGGTTTGAGAGTAGGAAATCTAAGAAGACTTCTCAGAGTGACTGCTAAAATTTTGTTTTATTTAACTTTACAGTGAGGGGGGGTTCTCAGGGCATTGGCATTGCTCAGCTATGGGCAGAGGTAGTAAAAAAGGAACTTGGACCCAGGGTGGGCTGGAACCCTGGAGCCCTTTGTGGGCAGGGCCGGTGGGAAAGGGCATCCTTGTGTCCCTTGCCCAAGGGCTGGCTACATGGGCATGGTACCACAGCACAGCCAAAGCTGGGTTTCCAAGAAGAGCTGGCAGGCAGGTGTAGAATATGCATCAGCTCCAGTTTGTTCTCCTGTTGCAGTGACGGTAACACAGCCAGCAAAGAAAAGACTACACTATTTCCCTGGGGCCATTTGTCAGTGCAATAATGTGTGTGTGGCATTTTGCATGTCTTAACCTCTCTGTTCTCTTATTGGAGCCATTGTCCCTTGTTTCTCTCTCTTCTCATTTTTAGCTCCCCCTCTCGAGTCTGTTTCTCTTTTTTGACTTTTCAAGTCTCCGTAGTTCACGTGTGCATGGTCTCTTCTTTCCCTTCCTGCCTGCTGCCTCCTCACTGTCCTGACACACGGTATCAGCGAATCCCTCAACAGTGTCATATCTAACTTTTTTATTCATTGCATGATTTATTTTTAGCCTGAAACAACTGCATCCTAAAAATGGAGCTCCTAATGAGCCAGAGGCTGGGCAGAGAGCTATGTAAGGTATCTGGGGTTGGGCCACCAGCCTCTGCCTGGCTCCTACTCTATGCGCATGTCTGCCTGAACCTCCACTGTGTCCTGAGCCTAAGATTACACAGCTTGCGGGACCCGAGGTGGTGAGGACAGATCAGCTTCTCTCTCCTTACTTGGCTCAAAGGACCTGCTAAGAGTTTTCCATTCTCTCTCCTGCGCATGCTATTTTGAGGAACAAGAGAGAGAGAGAAAAAAGAACTTTTCCCAAATGAAGAGAACTCATCTGCTCATTTTGGGGGCCTATTTGCTGTCCTCTTGCAGGGGAGAAGAGGGGCTGAATTTCCCTATATATGATGGGAAGGACCGAGTGGTAAGTCTTTCAGAGAAGAACTTCAAGCAGATTTCGAAGAAATACGACTTGCTCTGCCTCTACTACCATGAGCCGGTGTCTTCAGATAAAGTCGCCCAAAAGCAGTTCCAGATGAAAGAAATTGTGCTAGAGGTGAGTGAGTACCTGCCTGGCCGAGTGGGGGCGGTGTGCTTTGGCCATGGGCTGGGATGTGGAAAAAAGGGCACTGGGGATAAACACTGAAGTCTGCTGCAGTTCAGTCTCATGTAAATTGCAGCTATTCTTGCTGCAAAGCCAGGAGCAAGGGCACATGGGGCCAAACTCCTGAGATGGAAGGGATTAGCCATTGTGCACAGCGATGAGTCTGCTGCTGTAAAGTCTTTCACATCACTTTCTTCTTGGTTCTTCAAGACTTTCGTCCTACCTGGTTTCTTTCCTGAGAGAATGTTCAAACTGTTACAACTATGGGTTGAAACACAGCTCAGTTATTAGTGGGTTTCATTCAGCGTGCCAATTTCCCAGTCTTTGCTCCTCCGTCTGATCTCCCTTTGATCCTGAGAAACATGTCCTTTGACCTTGCCTGTCTTTCTGGGTCAGAGGGAGAGCACCCCTAAATGGCTTTTGTCTCCTGTGGTTTGCTTTCTCAGCAGCATTAGAGTGTAGATGTTTGATCTTCCAAGCCCCATATTCATTAGCAGGGATTTTTATTCCCTGTGAATGTTCTTGGTGTAAGCTTAGGGGAGAAGCTGAAGTCACTTCTTATTTTATCTGCATTGCATGGCCTGTTGTCACCTGGCACCGGGGCCATGTCAAATCCTTGGTAAGTGCCACAGAAATGATCCCAGCAGCTCCTCCTAGACAGCTGGGGCCGCTTACACTTCAGGAGCTCCTGGGCTGCCAAGAGTCCTAGATGGCACCGGGGCTCCACCTCTGTCCCCAGGGTGGCCTGGACACACACCTGTGGACGGGGCAATTTACCAAGTGTGCAGTTTATTGTCAGCACAGTCACAGAACTCAAGTTCACCAAATACGTTGGCCTCCAACCCATGTGGATTTAAATTTGAAAAAAAAAAAAAAAAAAAAAAAAAAA